TTTTTTTCACTTTTTTTTTTTCATCACATAGGGAACAAAGTCCTATATGTGATGATTTTTGGTGACAGGTTCTCTTTGAGACATCCAAGGTCTAAAAGACCCTGCATGTCTCCCCTCTGCTCCACTGAATGCAATGTGGTGCACATCGCACCATATTACATTCTTTCCTGGGGATTGCATTACAATCTCTTAACGGGGACCCGGAAGTGACATTGTAACGTCACTTTCGGGTCAGCACAAGAAGTGGAGCAGACTTGTCCACTCTTCTCCCTCCCCTCTAACCGACAGCGAGCCGGGCCCGCCCGCAGATGGGCAAGCGGAGCCTGGGAAACCTCACGGGCGGGGTGGGGGGGGGAGTTTGGCACGGAGAGGTTGGCACTGTGTGCTTCCACCTGACAGGTGAGCCCGCTGCTTGCCCACAGCAGGGCTAAAGGAAGACAAAAGCTACCTGCCCGGGCATCGGAATCCAACATCCCTGTGTATATGTTTTGTGTGCATGTATTAGTATTGTCAATTGTAAAAGCTGTTCATGATGCTCTTAATATTATAAAGCAGTGAAAATAGTACTGGTGTTACTCATAGCCATCTCCTAGTCCATTTATAAAATGTAGGCAAGCACCACAGCTTTATATCAGTTTAGAGGTGTTTGACTTTTTTTTTTCTAATTCCTTTAAACACCACTCTATTTTATCCTATGGGTTTGATTTCCTAAAACTGAAGAGTGCAAAATCTGGTGCAGCTGTGTATGGAAGGCAAACAGCTTCTAACATCAGCTTGTTCACTTAACTTTTAACAAAAAAAAAAACTGATTGGTTTCTATGCAGTGCTGCAGTAGAATTTGCACTCCCGTTTTAGTAGATCAACCCCTGTGTGTCCGTGCGCAACACTTAGGTATCTAGTGGCAGAAAAAAAGAACACCACTGCACACTCAGCAGAGGAGTGTTTTGGCAGAAAAATGCTAAACATGTCTAAACTAACACACCTAAACCTCCCTCAAAGCTGGGTGCAAACTTCAGCTTGTATAAATAAACTGACCAAAAAAAAAATGGAAGCCGACTGGTTTCTATGCAAAGCTGCACCAGATTTTGCACTCTTCAGTTTTAGTAAATCAAACCCATAGTGGGCATTGGATTAAAACAAAAAATTCTGCACTGAGAACTGAACAATCAAAAACTGCTGATCATTCAGTTCCCCCCTCTGCTCTGAACACGGTCAGTCACCGACTCTCTGCCCTGCCCCTCCAGCGCTCACTGGAGTGCCAGGCTGTGGAGGGGGCGGTAGCAGCTGACTCAGGCTCTCAGCGGTTCGCTGAGAGGCTGAGCCAGCTGCTGGTCCAGGTCTCTGGGTGGATCCTGACTTTAAAGTCAGCATCTTTCCCGAGCCTAGACCAGCTCAATGACGTCAGCTGACAGCAGGCCTTGGCTCACCTGTTAGCTGAAAATGGGTCACAGGAGTGCAGAACGAACTTTGTATTCATTTTGGCTATACTTCTCCTTTAAGGCCTCATGCACACAGGAAAATATTTTCCTCCCCTATCCTCCAGGGGATGAATAAGCAGAAAATAGAAAAAACACACTTAAAGCCAAATTTTGCAAACATGTCTAGTGTTTGGGCTTTCATTCATTCCATTACCCAAAATATTAATTTACTCTGGCCATTAAAATGAATGAATGGTTGAGCGCTAAAAGAAGCTGATTGCCTACCATGCACAGCTGCACCAGATTTTTCACTCTCCAGTTTTCATAAATTAATCCATATATATTATACATAGAACAAATCTCAGTTTCACACCTAATGCTTGACAATAACATACAGAAACCATCAATGTGTTTTCTTTCTTTATTATTTATTTAGATCATACAACGTTTCATTGAAACTCAAAAAAAGAAAGACTTCAACCAACACCTACACCTGAGTTGTTGGCTTAAACAATAGTAATATTTTACATTTATACAGAGGATGCTAAAATATGTATTGCATGAGCCCCTAGATCATACCTAATAGTAAAATAAGCAAAAACCATGTGCTAATTCTACTCCCCCATAAATGGTAAAAATCATAAAAAAAAGATATTAATTTATTTACAAAAATGGCCCCCTAGCTGTCAGATGTTTTATTAGTGATGATATGGACTTTCCAAACACTGTAGATCGTGTATTGCAAACACGCAAGTTGTTTCGTTCTTTGAGCAGTTTTTCTTTTTTTATTTGTATTTAGTGCTATATTGTAAAGGAAGACCCAAAATCAAAATGTTCTTGAAAGCAAAAAAAATTTGAAGTAGTATTTGTTGTAAAATAAACCAATCATAGTTCGATAAGCAGCTACAACTGTCTCCAGTTCTAATATTTTATATACAATTTCTTACTCAAGGTGATAAGGTTTTTACTTGTTTAAAAACCTATTCAGTGTGTTAGACAGGGACATGTTTAGTTTGTGTCTTTAGAAAGAGACTGCCTAAGAATAAATTGAGTTGTCTTGCTCAGACTATCAAAGCCCTATTAATATGGCATTACCACTCCCGGATATGATGTTTACAGGAAAGTTTCTTAAATTGTCTGCTCTTGACAGATAGTCAAAGACAGCCAAACATGGGTTCCTAGCATGTTTAGAGTGGACTAAACATTTACACATGAGCTTTGGCAGTTGAACAAAACCTGACAATGAGGTCATTGACCTCTATGGAGAAATGTCATACACATGGGTCTCATTCTATAACACATTACAAAGCAGGAGGTAGAGTATATTCTGCTTTATCCATTTCTTCTTCAACAGTTGTCTTACGAAAACCTTAAATTATGTAAACATCTTTCACTTTCCCAAACTGCTGAAAGCTAACTGAACCTAATAAAGGCTTAGATGCACATCTTTCCAAGGACCCTTGCACTCTGGGTAAGCTTTTAAAGCTTTAAAGTTGGAAAGCGGAGAGGTATGGTAAAAAAAAACCGGTGTCAACAAAAGGAACAGGTACAGATTTGAAGTAGTTCTTTTTTCCCCCAGAATTCCCTTTACACTGCATTATTGAAGAATTAAAACAATTCGCTCTAAAAAAAACACACTACTGATAGGTTTATTGATGTCACAAGATGTGCACCCCTTTGTTTTAAGGTTAGTGTTCCCTTGAATGCTTTGTGTAAACCATCTCCAAACAATGATCAAGACAGCCAACATACAGAACAAATAAAACTGTATCTACAACTGAAATATTTACAGGATATTTATATATTTACAAGGTTCTTTTATACATATATCATAAATATTGAAAAATAGGTTGCTATTCAATGAGTCAATGTTCTACAAATAGCACATTAGAGTATATATTCATCCGTGGAAGACAATGAGATGACAGAAGTGGCGATCTATAGATCTGCATGGTGAAGATGTTATTTTGCTTGGTTATTTATAGCAGGTATTGAACTATCACACTTTGCACAGGTTATACACCTGTAGTATTAATATTAAAAAATATATGTAAAGTGTTCATACAGAAACAGCTTTATCTGCTGTGTACGCAAGTTGATAATTATATTTGTATGGTACGATTGTGCGTTTATTATGTGAATAGCTATGCAATCTACTGTATAGTATATTAGACAACCAGTGATATATATTGCTGCACCAGTTTGTTGTGTACATATTGCCTATACAGAATGGAAGCAATTTCTAGTAAATATCAATATACTATAAGGATTAGTGATATCATTAATGCACAAGTCAGCTTCTGAACAAAATCACTTCCACAAAGTACTTCATCCATTCTGCATAGGAAACAAGTATACTTTAATTTGGAATAGTCTGTTTAGTCTTGCATGTAACATACTTGGTTTTAGGCCTCTGGGAATTTTATCCCTACATGCAAGGAAAAAAAATTTAAAATATTGTAAGAGTTGTAGCCTTCGGGCGCTTTTCAAATATTACAACCTTCTATATCGGCAGTGTCTGTGTCACTTACAGAATAGTGGAGAATGCTTTCTAAAATGTATACAGTAAACATTTTCTGAGCAAAAGAAGACAAATCAGGCCCTGTGGTTCATGTTTAGAAAAACAGAAAAAAAAAAGTTGCTCAAGTAATTCAGTCGTTTATAAATTAAGCTTTTAAATATTGAAAATTACTATACACAATGTAAACTGCCATGGGCTTCAATAAATTAGCCATTTAAATATTTCATGTATGTACCATGCGTAGAAAATACCCGCAAGTAACACGGTAAAGGTCTGACCAGTAACTTATTTTTTTTTTTTACATTCCGTGTTGTATAAACAACCAGGTAAAATAATTTGATCAAGTCTTTTAAGCCCATACCATAAGGAGTATTTTGACTTTCAAATTATTTTTTTACATGTTCAAAAAGGCCTTTTCAGTATGAAGATAAACTGCACTTTCCAGCAGTAAGCTGGTGACAGAAAAAACGTTGTTAAGCCTGCTTTTACATTTTTTTCTCTCACTGTATCACTGTATCCCATGCTCAAGTGAATATTTACTAAAATACTGACTATATTTAAATATACTGCAGCAAACCAGTAAAAGGTTCTTTAAGCACAGTTTCTGTGTAGCTCCCCTCAGAAGTGCGTCCAATTTGGTGAGCAATTTTTGGTACAAAAAAAAGGGGAGGGATCTGTCCCATCCACCAGATGAACACTTTTGCAGTGTAACATTTACTCACTTCAAATGGTTCCTGTAGGCACGTTCAAGTAATAACATACAAGTATGAGTAACAATAATTGACAACAACCAACCATGTGGCTTCAATAAAGTTTAGATTGTGTGTCCATTCTCCAGAATGGAATAAAATTACTTCCTTCTGCCAAAACCTTTGGAATAAAGAAGGCATTGTCCTTGTTGAGATGTAGAACTAATCTCTGAAAGAGTCTCTTTGTTCTACAAGAATGGGTGTCTTGAAGGAAGTTAAACTGCAAGCAATGGTTACATTTCATTCTCAGTAGAAAGGTTGGGAGTGAACAGTTCCACTTCAAGAAAAGTGCCGTGTTGCTCACCAAGTCATCTAGTGTTTGTCAGGAGAAGCACTGTGGATCCAGTCAAGAATAATCAGGGTCATGCTTCCAATCATTACCACAAAGCCACTAATGAGGAACAGTGCAGCCTACAAAGAAATACATGAAAGTTGTTATTTTATCTGGAAGGTCACTGTGATCAAAAGATAGTCAAAATATGCCCAAAGCTGCTATTACCTGTAGATATTTACTTTTGTACCACCTCCCTTCCTTTTAGATTGTAAGCTCCATTAGCCAGGCCCTCCTATTCCTTTTCTATTGAACTTTATTGAAATTGTACTGTCCCCCTTTATATTGTAAAGTACTGTGCAAACTGTTGGCACTTTATGAATCCGGTATAATTATAATAATAATAAAACTAAATAAAAGGATCCGTTATACATTTTGCTAATTAACACCAACATCACCATCGTACTGTATACTATTCTATACCTTTCTTTTTTTTACTCTTCCAATCAGTGTGGGGGTGTGACAGTATGGAAAGGCCTCAGCCTCATCTGAGTTCTCAGATGGCTTGGCACCATGTGTCGTTTAACTAGTTAAAAAACTAAAGCCAGGAGTAAGTATGGTTATTTATGGTCATCATTTTGGAGTTGGCAGTAAATATTACTATTAGTACACTGAGTAAAAAATACACATTTGAGTATTGGCAGTAAAGTAACAATTTAAGGCCTATATAAATGTTCAACCCTGATTGGCTACAGTAACTATAGAGTGGTGATCTTAGTCAGGTTTTTAGCATACCTAATTGCATCTTAAACTGAATATTTTTAATGTAGGGGGTTGATTTACTAAAACTGGAGAGTGCAAAATCCAGTGCAGCTGTGCATGGTAGCCAATCGGATTCTAACTTCAGCTTGTTCAATTAAGCTGTGAAAAAAGAGCCAGGAAGCTGATTGGCTACAATATACAGCTGCACCAGATTTTGCACTCTCTAGTTTTAGTAAATTGACCCCTATTCTCTGTGTTCTTTCTAAACTTGAACTATTAGAAGCACAATTTGTAACAAAAATCAGAATTGCAATCAAAACTATCAGTTATATGCACACCTGTAAAACACATATGTATGCACTATGATTATATACTTCTGACCAGGGGCGGACTGACAACTGACAACTCATGGGGCCCCTGTGTCCTTGCCCAAACTCAAAAAAGCCTGTGAAAAAGGTACCAGGGGCATCTCTTGGGGCCCCCTACTGACCCCAAACCCTTGGGCAGTGCCCGAGTTTCCAAATGGTCAGTCCGCCCCTGCTTCTGACTATTGCTGTACAAAACAATTAACATCATAATAGCAGACTTACCCCAATCTTCTGCACTGATCTGTTGGATTCCTTTGTCACTAGCTTCAGGTAAAAAGCTGATGGCAGGATAAAGACCAGCATAGCAGCAGCAGAGGCACCTATGACACAAAAGGAAAAATTAATTAGTTTCTACACAAGCAGCTGATTATTTACAGAAAAAAAAAAAAACATCCCACGCACATATACATTATTAACCCGGCATGCTAATTAACAAACTGCTGCTAGGATTTTCCCTGCTGCACTCTTAGATTTGTCAGTGTTTTCCTCCTTTTCCATTTACTGGCAGGCATAATTTTTTTTCCTGCACTATGAAAATCATTTAACCTTAAAGCAAAACCAGGGGCTTGATGCTATCTACGAAAGAGCGTACAGAAAAATAAACAAAGCGGTTGTTTTTCCAATGACTCACCAATGAATCCAAAGATATCTCTGATGGTTGGGACAAAAATGACCAGGAAATTGGTAAATGCCAGAATGAGAAGTGTGATCAAGATGTGGCGCCACCATGCAAAGTCCTTCCCAGAGCACAACAGCTGAATGATGGAGCTACGGATCTAATATAAAACAAGGCCAATTTAGGCATAATGAAAACAATACAAAAAAAAAACAAACCAAAAAAATCAAGTGACAACATAGAATCTTTTACTTTACAGTTGCAGTAAACTTATGCAACACAGCTTGCATTGTAATACCCTGTGCATAACAATGCTATTTTATACCAGTTATCATTTTGATTAAAACAATGCTCTGTAAATTGCAAGTACATATTTGCAAGTTGACTTTTAGGGGTTTATTTACTAAAGCTGGAGAGTGCAAAATCGGAATCACTTCTGCATAGAAACCAATCAGGTTCTAAGCTCAGCTTGTTCAATGAAGCTTTGATAATAAAATCTGGAAGCTGATTGGTTTCTTTGCAGAAGTGAGTCTGATTTTGCACTCTCCAACTTTAGTAAATAAACCCCTTACTGTCTCCCATGAAGTAAATTTGAGTAACTGGAGTAGTATTGGATCTAGGGTTAACTGAATTTTGGCTATACAAATGCAGGTTCTTTGGTAACTTATATTAAATTTGAAGGCGTCCATCATAAATTGTTTTAGCTAATTATACAAAGTAACATCACTTACTGGGAAAATAACAATAGGAACAGTTAAGGTGACAGCCATGAGAACAGCCAGGCGCACAACGACAAATATAACTCCAGCTCCTGGAACCTTGGAGTATGTGTGGAGTAACTCTGGCTCAACACGTCCTGTTGACAATAAAAAGAGCATTGATTTAGTAAGATATATATACAAAAATAAGATTTTTACATATGGCACAGCTTTGACATCATCATTACCATGCCTATTTTCAACACATCCATATATGCAAAGTATTGCATCTTTTTATTCAAAATGTTTTTTATACCAACTTAAAAGGACAGCGCCATACAAAACTCACTTTATAGTGGTGGTATTGAATCACTGGTTGGCTTCCTAAATCTCTCAGAAACAAACACAATAGCATGTTCCCACAATAATTTGGGGGTTATTTACTAAAACTGGAGAATGCAAAATCTAGTGCAGGGTTGCACAGAAACCAATCAGCTTCCAGGGTTTATTGCCAAATCTTAATTGAACGAGCTGAAGTTAGAAACTGATTGGCTACCATACACAGTTGCATCAAATTCTGAGTACTCCATTTTCAGTAATTCTCCCCCTTTCTGTCTCTGGTACCCTACTATGAAGCCATAACATGGCATCACTCTTTTGCGCTGAATTCTAAAATTATTTATTTAACTTTGTGACGATTTCATTTAGCTTTACATTGGCTGTGTTCTGGTAGGCATATTTTACAACTTAATTCTCTGTGAAAGCAGCAAAATAGAGATTTGGGGTGAATTTGGCTTTTATGATACAATAAACACTTGACAAGTACTTGATTGCACTAATATTCCCTGATACTCACTGTCATTATGACACATTATGATACTGATAGCCATTATGACAGCATATTTCTCAAAATACTTGATTTTTTTTAAAGCTGGCAGTATGTGATATAGATATACATTATTATATTATGAAAGGTAGTGAGAGAAAATTCTTTCAGATTTACTTTGCTTGTGAACCATTGAATCTGAACCAGAAAACAACAGGCAAGCCGAATCACTGTGAATCGGGGCCCAAGCCCACTAATTTGCTTGTCAAGAATGAAAAGGTTGGATTAAGAATTTCCTAGGTACATGGATTTGATAACAGCAGCTCCAGAATATACTAAACTGCTCTGAGAGAGATTTAAGGACTAAAATGATATTACATAAAAAATAGATTATGACAAAGTATGGTTTTGTTATACATAGTAGCTTCAGATGTTCATGTATTTTCATGGAATACATATGAATTTGTATTATTTACCATAGAAAGTCAAATATCCAAAGAGAGCAGCCAGGAGATACATGATAAACATAGCGAAAAAGGACACATTTGAAACATTCATCATTCTTCTACGGCTTCGGCTGTGGAGAGAGAATAGAATACATTTAATACATGCTCACTTGAAGTCAATGTTCTTTTCCTGGCTTAAAATAGAACAAATCATACCCTTTAAGTTCCTGGTAAATTGGAAGGACAGCTGGGTGACAGACAAAGGAGAAAGTCAGGATGGGTACAGCATACACCGTCTGGAATAGAAAATAGGCAAAACATTTAATTACACAAATAAAATAACTTAAAATCCCTACCAAGAAACGTAGGGTTAGTTCACAACATAGCAAGGTAAATGAATATTGCCTAAAAAATGGGCAACTTTACAGAGGCATTGTTACCTGTGAGTTGAAAACAAAGTATTTTGGTTTGCACATTTCATCATCAATGGTCTCGTTCAGCTCAACGCTGTGGATCGGGGCATGTGTGGTCAAGTGAGTCAACGTGTGGTTTAAAGTCATGTTGATGGCATCGTTTTCTAGTAAAAGAGGGCACGCGATCTGAAATTTCTTGTAGATAACCTAAGATGCAAACATAAAAATGATCAAAGTGATTAGAATAACAATGATTAAATAATGATCAAAGTGATTAAATAATAGTGGCATAGAAACTGCTACTGTCTTTAACAAATTAACTTCTTACTACAATATTGGTATCACAAACTGTAGGTTTCTATATTACATCAGCCAGCACCAAAAATTATATATAACAAAGGGCAGCAAGACAAAAAAAATTTATCAAAAATAACATACAAAAAAGCTTTCAAATATACTATAAAAATGTCAAAAAAACCTCTGAACAAACTGGAAAACATTTGTACCCAGTCAGATCAGTAGGAAGTCACACCTAAAAAACTTATGGCTGCATGTTACTAAAGCCAATGGTTCAAGATTATATATTACCTATTTTTGAACTTTTATAAATAGACCTATATGTTGTAAAAGCTGGTCTACATGAGAGTAGTAAGTTAGAGACAAGTCCACCCAAAACCAACACTCTAGTTTTAGTAAGTGCTGTACAGCTAAATCACATTAACTTGTTTTATGCCCCTCAAGGTTTCGGGGGAAAAGATTTATGTACTTGAGTTCCCAGGTTTGCACACATGCTCCAGCAAATATTAAAGGTTTTCAAAATACTGGTTGAATACTGAATTTATTTTATATTATGAAAAATGCAACAGAGGAAAAGATGGAGTTTATAGACAAAAGATTGAAAGATGGGTGGAAACTTAGCTAAGAGCTAAGACAGGACTTATTGCCCTGAAGTTCCCAAAAAGATATCAGAATCCAGCCGTATCTCCCACCCTCCGATTTTGGTAACCAGTAATACAAAATTTTGGAAAGACTGACTCTTTCAGGAATATACTTACAACAATGAGGAAAAACACCATACACATAAGTGAAAAGCCGCTCGTGTAGCCCAAATACCCTGCAATTAAAATAAAGGGAACTTAACAAAAACATAAAATGTCATTGGAATATCAAATGAATGTGTAGCTAAGCATGATTCATCAGAAAACATTACTAAACAAACAGATCACGTCAATTATTAATGATTTATAAAATAAAGCTGGCCAAGCAAGTTAGGTTTACCAAAAAACTATGTAGCGTGAGTGCCGTACTGACCAGAAATAAATTTAGTAAACAGTTTGGGTACACAATTGAAGTAACTTGTTGATGGTAGAGTTTAAATAGATTGTACAATCAGATGTTTATTTCACATTTGGAAAAACTTACCCAAGTTTCTTAGCAGTGACAACGGAAGTATGAGGACTATAGAAACTATTACAACCAAATAATCTCCATTCAAGTACCATTCACTGGAAAAAAAAATCAAAGCAGAAAATCAGCAGCTGGATAGTAAATAAGAATAATTTATATTAATTTGTTGTGTAATGGTAAGGTCATACTACTTTAATATCTATTCTTTCAAATCCAGACTGAACAATACACAGCTTTAACAGTCTAAACTAGCTAATTTTATTCTAATTTTTAGAGTTACGTAAACTGGGGTGTGTAATGCTAATGGTATCACATGCCTTTGGGGGAGAGCACACACAGTCCTGTTTGAAGTATTAATAAAACTCGGCTCCATATTCCAGCATTCAGCATGTAACTGCCAGTAAAGGGCTTGTTTTGGCATCTTATGAGTACAAGCTATTAGAACATGCTTTCTTGGGCAGGCCTTTCCTTCACAGGCATTAACTAAAGAGAGCACTGTGTTCGCCCACAGACATTCATTTCAGTGGAATGTGGTGCGTCAAGTCACCAAACATACTCTGAAGCAACACACAGGCTGTCAGAGGGACTGGACTTCTTAATTGGCAGAAGTAAACTATTTTGGTTGAGTTAGAACATACAAAGTTACTGAAGATAAACAGTTTTTATAGTCAAGCACTGGTTTCCACACTAGGTTAACCAGAGCTCAGATCACATTTCTAGATGTGTTTCCCGCTATCTCACATAGTTGATCACTGGGGCTCTCCTTCTCAAGGACATTCTATTTACCTTTATCAGATTTTTTCTTAGGCTCTCCGTATATAACGAATGTACATTTTCAGAGAAGGTCACTATAACTTACTGACCCTCACATATACTAATCACTGCAACCAGCTTGGCCCTTCACTGATGCCGGTCATAGATGGATCGAATCTCGGCCAGTTCAGCAGGGACCGACTGAGGTTCAAACTATCTATAGGCAGGCTGGTTGTACTGAAGTCGATCCATTGATCCATCAACAGAGTCAGTGTTGGTGGGGAAATCAAACAAATTTCTTTTCTGCAACCCACGGTTGCAGGACAGAAAATTGCATCATCTATGGCTTTAGCTTTAAAGTGACACTAAACTCTGGTTTTAAAAAAGTATTCCTAACCTAACTTTTTACTGATCTCAGCCTCCTCCAAACATTATTTATTTTTTTGCTGCTGTGATCTGATATCCTGTTAGAGGGTGGCTACGTTCATTATCCACGATCCCCACTGTATGTAGGAACCCTCTTACTCACTCCAGAGATGGACTATGGAATTTATAGTGTACACAGAGCAATGCACATGACTGCAACTAACATGCATTGCTTGTTCCAAACAGATGGAAGTGAATGGGAAAAGCAAAAGTTTGCAGGCCAATTGAAAATATTAGAAGGAGGCAGAAAAACACAGTAAGAAACATTTTCATGTGAAACAGACTACTGGGTCATTAAGTAGCTGATGTGTATTAACTGTTTTGGGGAAAAGGATATAGATTAGTGTCACTATTAGGTAGCTCTTTCCTTTGGACCGTGTGCTCCTCTGAGCAGGGCAAGTTTTCTTTTTACATTTTTTTCATATGTAACCCCCAAATAACTGGTGTTTTAAAAAAAAAAATCTGGATAATGGTTATATGTGACTGAAATATACTGAAAGTTGAAATGACTAACTTAATACATAAGAAATAGCAGTGGCTATGCTAAGAAAAAAAACTGTTTATGGGGTTTATTGTGTCAATTCACAAACCAGTAAAAGTTTAACAAAGCAAGATACTTACTTAGCACTGGGATCAGTACCGGCTAGTTCCTTAATTACAAGAGGCAACTCATACTTCACAATGTAGAGGTAGCTTGACATTGCTGAAAAATAAAGAAAGGATTAGCCAAAAATAATAAACCCTTTCTTATATATAACTGCATGGTGTGATGCTGGTAGAAGTAAATGACCTACCTCCAATATTCTGCATGGTTATAGATCCAGAGGCTGCAAGTTTTCCAAATAATCCAAATGCTTTAAATCCCAGCTGCTCATACAATAAAGAACCTAAACAAATTAAAAACATGTTAACAAGGGATATTTGCCAAAAAATATGTCTTTCAAAAGTGGTGCAGTTTAAAACACATACCTCCTTCATTTGCTGTCTTTAACAGAAGGTGAATGGAGTAGAGAGAGAAGATTGACACAAATGTCAATAGAATCCTACAACACAAAACAGAAAGAAATTGGTGAAAGTTCCCAACATAGGTGTGTTCGAGCAATATAATGTATATTGATTTATAAATGCACTTTGGCTTCCATCCCACTGTGTCACTGACTCATTACTCTATTATTACACAAGACCAGCCCAAACCCGTCATTTTCGCACGGTACTTGTTTAATGACTATGAGTTATCGCACTTGCTGTATCATGTATTAACATAACCCTTTGAAGGATGCAAAATACCCCCCCGGAGGTACCATTTCACATGATTTTTGCAGCAATATATAGTTTATATAAGCTGATAATTTACAAGCCAAAATGAAAAAAAAAAATGGTCACCATTATCAAACTGTTTAGATCTCTGTTTCACATACTATATAATAAATTATGTACAAAGGAGATATAATCATGTTATATTTATTTTTTAGAAAGAAACTTTTAAGCAAAAGCTGCTTGTTGCTAATACAATTAATTTGATTACTATATGGCAATGCCCAGGGTTGGTGGCAGTAGTAGTGACCACTACTCAATGGTGGAACTACTGCAATAGCATCCCATGTGGCCGCTTTGGGGCAGAGTGGGGCCAGGTCAGGACCTGGAGGAGAGAGCTGTAGCTCCAGAGCCACATTTTTAACTTGTCTTATTGTTTCTGACACCAATGAACCTTATTTTAAAGTGCAGGGGGTGTTTTTAACAGCGTTTTTCTTTTTTCCTAAAGGGTCCGAGAATAATTTTGCTATGGGGTCCTGTAATTTCTAATCACACCCCTGCCATTGCTGTTTAATAACAGTCAGGGGTGCACAAGTAGAATATGTTGACTATGCAAAGCTCTCCAAACAACAGGGGCGATAAGAACTATATAAACATATATCACTGATACCATTGGACTAATGGTACCACCAACTGCAAGAACTGATGCATTAGGGTGATTTAGAAAATCAGGGCTGGGTTTGTGCTTTGTTTCACTGCTAGAAAGCAATGTTTCCTTTATTTTATAAGAACGGTATTGTCTCAGTGTGCTTTATTTTTGGAACTAAAAGGCAGTACCAAAACTGTTCGGAACACTGTACAATGGAAACAGTGTACATCATTGTTCTGTATTAAATAATAAATATTTTAAACAAAATCAGAGATATGCTGCCCCTAGTGGGGACTAGTACGAAAACACTGCCCTATAAATACACAGCATGTGACATCTACAAAAAGCCTCAGCACAAAATGTCAAGAAAATAAAAGGAAAAAAAAAAGGGATACCATTGACAATGAAATACTTACATAAATAGTGCAATCCCAGTGTTAGCCATGGCATAGGATAGACCTAAAATTCCACTTCCCACAATGGCATTACTGAGGTTAAATACTGACATGCCAAAAGATGTGGTCCCTGGAAGCTAAGAATAAGAATAGGATAGGTTTAGAACGTTACAAAAACATACATCGTACACAGCTCATTCAATCCATGCTTGCTGAGACAGATAGGGATTTACTTACGTATTCTGTCTCGCATTTCTTCTTTGTCAAAGTAGGCTCAAGAAGAAAATTTTTGGTTCTCTGGATCCATGTCATAATGCCTGAAAATGAATGAACACATTATCAGTCGTCCTATCTAGATTAGGAGTGTCAAATATTGTCCAAGAATTGAATCGCCTAATACGCAATTGCACTTGCATAAGAAATCTAGCGTTTCTATGACGATATTTGTGCATAATTAATGACACACGGCCGCGCGCATATAAATGAAGAGGACTAACCCTTTAATGGATAGCTTCTTTGCTGGATATTCCGGGTAATTGAAGTCATCGTTGCTGTTGGAGCTGGCGCTGTCCTCATCTGGGGAAATATTAAACCTTCCCATCTCTTGTTTGTTCATGGTGATAAGGAAGATGTACCCTGTTCACAAGAACAGCTGATGTAGTCTGTGTGGATGCTGCTGATCGTACTGCTGCTGCGCTTGGTTCTCTGCCTGCAAGAAAGAGAAACGTCAATACTGCAGTGTGCAACTCAACCACGTGATGTGTTATCATCACGAGCCGCCAGTGAATAAGGAAAGAGGGGAGGAGGTTAGAGAGTGGAAAAATACTAGCTAGGCTCACAGAATACAGCAAATTCCAAGCCACAGAGTCCGCCTCGTCCCCCCTCCCGTTGTCCCTCTCCACCCTCACTTGTCAATCACAAAAATTCCAAGGCCATGAGCAGATATTTAATCCCATCTAATTCAGAACATTGTTTTAGTATGGCCCCTCCATATAAAAACCATATACAATTTTATACACCATCATTTTTTTTAATAGTTTAATGCTATATCAAATAATTATTAAGGTGGTCATCATCACTCAGATGCTACATTACTATGTAACAGCATGAGTACTAATTCATAGCATTATTGAAAGGAATAAGATACAAGTGCAATAATTGCTTCGCCATCTACCAATAAAATATTATCAATGTGATGTAGGATTAGCATGTTTATTATCAGCTACAAAAACATCTCTACGTGATTGAGGTGAATAATGAGCCTGAATAATTACCATCAACGATCCACTTAAATGTAAACCCATACACATAGGACAAATGGATGGAAAACATTTATTGAAAAGAGATTCACAAATAAGTGAACTGATTAGCCTAACTAAATATATACACTTAAAATAGAATAAAATGTCTGTGAATTAAAAAAAAGGAAAAGGAATTGCTTGGCGGTTAAAAAAAAAACAACACTGGTAGCTAAATCAGACAGTATTCCAGGGAAAAAAGGCGCTTGTATCTAGAAATTTCTCTACTGGGGCTGAGTTTACAGGGAAGAAAAGAAAAAAAAAGGAATAAGCTCCACATTGAGCAGTGTACGATACATGGCCACTCCTCGTCCCCTCCCTCGCTTCCTCACACTAACCTCTGCTCCACAAGAACACACAAGAATCTGATGCAACCACCACACACTATTGAAACAGATCAGATCCATGTGCCGGATTTCCTCTCTACTCAGCAACCCAGTACAAAGGAGGGGACACTCCTAAAATCCACTGCAATATTATTCACTGTGGATAAGGGATCACCCAATAGATCTTATAAGGATGGGTGGATAGATAGATAGATATATGGACAGACAGATAGATCTATATAGATTATGCATAGAAAGATGAATCATACATATATATATATATATATATATATATATATATATATATGGAAATATAGATGACTGTCAGATAGATGTTACAATATAGATGATGGATAGATTGATCAATAGTTATATATATATATATATATATATATATATAAAAAAAAAGATATATCGATGATGTATAGAGAACATGGTATATTTAGATTAGATATATGGATGGATAGATAATTAGTTATATTTAGATACATAAAACAATATTTAGATGATGGGTAAAGGATTAGTTATATTTAAATAGGTATAAAGATATATGGATGATGGATAACGAATGCGTTATATTTAGAGGAAGGAATTAAGAAAGAAAGAATAACGAATGAATTATATTTAGATAGAAAGGAAGATAATTTGTTATATTTAGATAGACATAATATTTAGATGATGGGTAGAGGATTAGTTATTATATTTCGATATATATTTGATGAAGATATAGATAACTATAGATAAGATTGTTCAATCGATCGATATACAGCGAGATCGATAGGACCTTCTGGTGCAGAATTTGAACCAAGGCCCTCGATTACATTCCTTATTATTACAATTTTCACCTACAAAGTCACAAACCTGCGACAATCAAACAGATCGATGACAGTACAGATCAGATCATATTCTGATCACCATTGGGCCATCCGATCTGACTATAGATGAGATAGAAGAGCCTCTATAGAGGAAGATTCAGTATATACAGAACACAGTGTAATGTATATCTGCCATGCATTGCTGGTACTTCTCCCCCCCCTCACTGATGATGAGTAATGTGTAGTCGCCCCCCAGCCCCCATACAATGTGACTTTGCTGTATCTGTACACACAGCAGTCACATTCCCATGCCTCGTGCGGCACTGTCACCCACACAGCCTGCGGATGTTCTTACCTTGTTCCCTGTACGGCTCCTGCTCCGCTCACACCACCAATGCTCCAATAATAATAAACAGAAATAAATAAATAGGGTCAGAAATATAAATAAAAGAACAAGAAACCCCAACGGCGGCCGTTCTGCGTGTGCTGATGTCTGATGGATACACTCTCTTAATAAGGGTCTGCAGAGGGGCGGGGCTGACGAGGGTGGGGCTGTCGAGCGTCATTTCAATAAACCTGTTCTTTGTGTACCAACATTGGAGGCCCCGCCCATCCCCGCCTCCCTTCCACTCCCGGCGGCCGGGGCTGTGGGGGGTGGGGTCAAGTGTTCCTGGTAGGTCTGGGCTGTTTGTTGTGTGCTGCCAGGGAGCCGCTACTTCAAACACACCCGGCTACATGAACTTGACTAGGGAGGGATTCCTGCCTGGGATTCCTGACAACACCCAGTCTGTCATTCCTGGGCTTCTCCCTCTGAAAAGGCTGGTTACATGGCGTCTTCCCGAGCATACACTGTACAATCTGCTCTGGAGGTACCATCACCTATGTAGTGCAAGATCCTGCCTGATTTGATGGCTATGGAATTGGGTGTTTAGCTTTGTCCTCATATGTTTTGGTAACGGTCGGTTCATACACACTGTGCGACACATGCCGTTCTATGTGGTGCGATTTCTTTTTTTGTTTACAAATTGTATATTGAACAAAATCATACGCCAAACACAATTACAAAATATAAACATCCATGTTTACTAAAATAGTATACCTTTAGTCTTCGTTCACAGGACTGCGACTTAAAAGTCGCACGACTCGCAGTGCAACCTTGCTGGGTGACTTGAGTGCTACTTTGAAGCAACTCTGAAGCAACGTTCAGGGAATGCTGGGTAATCTTCCTGTAATGTCGGATCCAAATCACATCAATATAGATGAGGATCCGATTTGGAGGCAACTTCTATATTAAAGTCTATGATAGGAGTCAGATAGGAGTCACCTTAAAGTAGTACAGGAACCTTTTCTAAAGCCGGAGCGACTTCAGTAGTGCTAATTAAGACAGATCTCATTGACTAACATGGGATTTCACATGTCATGCGACTTGGGGTCTCACAAGTCAGGTAGGAGTCGCCTTGAAGTAGTACAGGAACCTTTTCTAAAGTCGGAGCGACTTCAGTAGTGCTAATTAAAGCAGAGTTCCACTCACCCTTTCAAAAACAGCCACTTACCTGTCCCTCGGTCCCACAGTATGTCCCCCGCAGCCCGTTTCACCGGCCATACTGTATTCCAGGCGCCAGCATCTTCAGTGTGGGCACCCAGCTGTGACAGCTTGGGGTTTATTTACTAAAGCTGGAGAGTGCAAAATCAGACTCCCTTCTGCATAGAAACCAATCAGCTTCTAGGTTTCATTGCCAAAGCTTCATTGAACAAGCTGAGGTTAGAAGCTGATTGGTTTCTATGCAGAAGGGAGTCTGAATTTGGACTCTCCAGCTTTAGTAAATAAACCCCCTTGTGTCTTTACAGCTGGGTGCCCACTGCGCATGTGCAAGTAGCACTGCGCTTCATGAATGGATCCCAAAAGACTACAGAGAGGGAGGACACCTTCTGCTTCCGGTCGCCTAGGTGATCGGATCGAAAGTGGGAAATTCGGGTACCCGCTCCCCAAAGGTGACAATCCTTAATGGGGAGCAGGAGAGCAGTCCTTAAAGCGGAACTTCCCCTTTTGGGTGGAGCTCTGCTTTAAGACAGTTTTCATTGACTAACATGGGATTTCACATGTCATGTGACTTGGGGGTCTCACAAATCGGATCCCAAGTCGTACCGAGCAGGGGCGGACTGACAACTCATGGGGCCCCCGGGCAATAGGGAATCATGGGGCCCCTGTGTCCTTGCCCACACTCAGAGCACCAGGGGCATTTCATGGGGCCCCCTACTGACCCCGGGCCCTCGGTTAGTGCCCGAGTGCTTGAATGGTCAGTCCGCCCCTGGTACTGAGCTTTAGTGGGCATAAGAGCCGATAAGTTTACAGTAATATAAGAAACATCAAATTGAGATTTTTTTTTTTTGCTCATCCAATAACAAACACAAAATAAAATGTAAATAGAACAAAATAAAAAAAGGACGGGTACATAAGACATATCAGTTGTAGTCATACCAACAATGCCATAATAACTTTATGAACATAATGTGAGCCTGCTTATGTGAAAGGGCCCTACATTGTGCTTCCTAAATAAATGATCTGAACTCCCAATTTAGGACATACACTATATTGACAAAATTATTGGGACACCCCTCCAAATCATTGGATTAAGGTGTTCAATCACCTCCATGGCCACAGGTGTATAAAATCAAGCACTTAGGCATGCAGACTGCTTCTACAAACATTTGTGAAAGAATGGGTCGCTCTCAGGAGCTCAGTGAATTCAAGTGTGGTACCGTGATAGGTTGCCACCTGTGCAATAAGTCCATTTGTGAAATTTCTGTGCTACTAAATATTTCATGGTCAACTGTTAGTAGTATAATAACAACTTGGAAGCAACTGGGAACAACGGCAACTCAGCCATGGAGTGGCAGGCCACTTAAATGACAGAGTGGGGTCAGTGCATGCTGAAGTGCGCAGAAGTCACCAACTGTCTGCAGAGTCAATAGCTAAGGACCTCCAAACTTCGTGTGGCCTTTAGATTAGCACAACAGTGTGTAGAGAGCTTCATGGAATGGGTTTCCATGGCCGAGCAGCTGCATTCAAGCCTTACATCACCAAGTGTGATGCAAAGTGTTGGATGCAGTGGTGTAAAGTATGCCATCACTGGACTCTAGAGCAGTGGAGACATGTTCTCTAGACTGACGAATCAC